AATTGTTTGCTTGTGCGCTTGCCACGCAATCAAAAACTGTGCGCAAGCCAATTCTTAGCGCCGAAAAGGGAGAGCGATATCAATACAATTTTTCACGCACTGTTAGCCACAGACTCAGGATTAAAGAAGCAGGGGAAGCACGCAACTGTGGCCTTTCCTAGGGAGTTTTCTTCGTTCATCATTTGAGTGTGTCAGGTCAGAGGATTGAGAATTGATTCCACTTATTAACGATGACGTGTGTTAAACGACTAATTATTACATCAATGTCATTTCGGTGAAAAATTACGAAAAAACCTAAATGGGCAGGACTCTTCCCTAAAGAGGTCATAGTAACCTCGATTGGTACACCCTTGTTCACTTCCCAGTCCGAGGCCTTCGCAATGGAAGCCATCCAAGTACTCTTGGTTAGAAGAGGAGTTGAAACCTGCAATTTTATCGAATACATTTAATTTAACCAATTTCTGGCAATCTATCTTCAAAACGCATTTCTACACTGTTGGAACTATTCCCGAACGAACGAAAAGCGTGTCAATGGGCTACCAGTCTTGGGTTCTACCGACGCGGATCTGCGACAACAGGAAACACTGGGCTTTAACTACAATGGATTGAAATTCAAGACTTCATACGAAACGATATTGTCGGACTGTCACAAGGATTGTGAACCCCCTAAGAACGAAGGTTGTCTGAAAATCAAGCAGCAAAATGCAACTGCTAGGCTTTGTAAAATCCCGGTTACCATGAGAACGGCCTTCCTGTACGAAGAAACGCACTGCAGCCATAGGAAACTAAGATCGTGAAGTTGCTATACATTTGGTAGGCATTAAGAGAGAATTACTATGCTAGCAATCTCGACAACAGGTCATAAAGTGAAGAGGGAAGAGCCCCGACTCTATAGGACTTGCTCTTTGGTGAGCACCACAGTAAGACAATGACAGCTTGGAAGCCATCAGTTGCCTACTGGCAGTAAGTGGTAAACAGGTTTTGGAGGCCGACAACCATAATGTCACGTCCATATGCGTCCTTTATAGGAGATATTGCGTATACGGACAAATCAACTGTGATAACAAATGAGTGGATTACTGCGGACGAGCGCGAACAAGCAGGCATCAGCAGAGCGGAGGACTGGGGTTAACTCTATTTATTCGTGGCTCACTCGACGCCCCCCGATCGTGCCTTATAGTTTGAGGAGACTGGACCCTTCATGAGAGATAAAAGCCGCGTCAGTCACTAAATGCTTGAGTCATGGCTTTCCAGTTGGCAGTCCATCATCAAGTGCGGCGACCTCCCGCTCTACATTCAGCTCACCCTCTTCGTCTTAGCAAAGTTTTTGTTTACATCGTAGATGCACTAGCAAACACTGCTTAAAGCGACAGCACTGAAGACCCAATGTCCGATTTAGCAATGATGAGGCCCTCCGGGCCTAAAACATAAAATTTATTCATGTATTAACATGCTAACGGCCAATACTCGTAATTAAGTTGCAGAAATCCGTGGCATGTATGTTACCGACCAGATTATTACCGCCGCTAGTGAAAACATGTGTGTCAGTGCGTTCCTTTTCGCGACACCCTGACAAAGGATGAAAGATAAGAATTTAGCATCTATACTCAGTTCATAGGAACAAAACACGGAGAGTCAAAACGTTCTGCACTTCTTCAAAGTTTGCATAAGATGAAACCCCAGTCAAGATTGCCAAAAGATCCAGGCTGGTACGTACACGATCACTTTTATATGGTGCTTGATAAAACGCCATTTAAAGCACTATCTCGTGGTTTTGAGGTTCGCTCGTCTCGTGGTAAGGTTAATCAGTCTGAATTATAAACTCCTTTTATGAATCTCTGGAAAAAAACATGCGATACAGTGCTCACTTCCGTAGACAGTACTCAGCGGATTAAATCAAAACTAATACACAGCAGATATCGATACCTGAACAAAGGGTCAACAAATCGGGGATTTTTAGCAAATGCACATGTGGGGAAATTGACACAACTTCTAAGGCAGGTGATTAGGTCGGATAAAGGAACAACAACATGAACATAAATCCCTTATTGTCAGAACAAAAAAAATTCGGGAAAGTATACAAAGAAGAAGTTTTCACGAACAAAACTAATCAACTTTGTCAGAAGGCTCCGCGCAGTGGATTTACCAGGTGGTTTCATAAGTGACCGTGACCCCAAACACTTCCGACCAATCGGCAGACATATCCTTCGATTGTATGTTTTATCGACCACCCGTGAGAACAGCCGACAAATTCTTCCGATTTTGGACTTGTGACACCCTTCGTAACATGCGATAGCGAATTGGGTAGCAAAGGAACTAGCGTCCATACATAATCAGCTAGCTTCAGCTTATTATCGAAATACTTTCGAATTCATTGAAAAAGTCAAATAAATTCGTCTTAACGGCATACTGATGTTCTTGCTAGAGGTTTTTTTGGGTACCGAAACGGTTTATAGCATCTGGGAATTCATACCGATTAATCAACAGGAAATGCTAATTATGATGAAAGCACTCAAGGATTTGTTACTAAGATGAAAATCAAATGCGCGGTTCCATTTTAAACACCGACTATATACATAGACAGACGACGTTACAAGGGCTTTTTCTCCTGAAATTATCTCAACTAATGGGCAAGCTAAAGAAGAAACGTCAACTAAGGGATCAGATCAATAAATGACCACAGTAGGCCGCTACGCTGATGAACTCTGTGCAAGTACCACCAAAGAAACTAACATAACTGCCATCTTAAATTCTGCAAATTAGGCGCATCCGTCTATCAATCTCAAGTTGGAGGTGGAAAGGGTTGGCTCGCCCATTTTCCTAGACGTCTTCCCAAGCAGGAGACTTGACGGTAGCGTCTGAAGGAGCATTTATCAGAAGAAAGCCTTTGACAGTATGATTTCTGTCCAACAGAAATGCAGTCTGGTCCATTGTTTTGCGCCTGGACTAGAAACATTGTTCGGCAAGAAACCTCGAAAAGGAGCCTAGCAAGATCTACAATCCGCCTGGAGACAATGGGGGTCCTGACAGCTTGATTACAAAAAATCTTTTCGAGCGAACGTCAAAGTCCCCACACTGACTGGTGAAAAGGAATCCCTGTTCTTGGAAGTCACCCTTTTAAGGGGCAAACCATTTCACGAACTGTACCAGGCATAAGAGTTCGGATAGTATTCTCTACCAACTCCATTTTACACGGAAAAGGTAGGAATGGGTTATCAGCTCAGACCATATTACTGTGCATTTGGTACATTTGCTCATTTACTTGCTCCCCTGCGTCAGGTTATATTAATCATAGGAGTCGGGACCCATCCAAGGGCATACGAGAGCACCTTCTGGCGTGATTGGTATACGGCAAACGTAAGAGCATGAACAGGGCTATTCTCTCACATTTAGTTGATTGGAGGCGTCATGTGGATCCTAATCAAGCTTTTCGCATGATCCATAAGGTTTCACCGAACTAACTTAAGCCACTGGGCAAGCACTAGCTGGTAATAACATGAGCGGCTGCCATCATTTTTCGAAGGCCGGCCTTGTGCGCGCAGAAGAGCCGCATGAGTTTAATCTACTTAGGCCAATTTCACCGCACAGCTTCTGCAACGTAGGGAATCCAGTAATTCGGGTGTAGTAAGCTGACTGTCCAAGAAAGATTTCCCAAACAATCAATGTAGAATCCATAAGATTACTACCAGGTGGATTCAATACGTTACAGTAGGCTGGCCGGGTAAGTTGACCCAAGAGTGATTAACTCACGGCTCCCGGTGGGGCCTCGTAACTCAGTTAGTTAGACTGTTGGCTGCACTAAGGCCTTTCCCTTGCTATCGTCGGCTCGAGTCCCACCAAGGTTCCGAGTTTTTCTCATGTGTATCAACTGTAAAAATGTATTTTATTAACGTTCCAGATTAATGCTCAAAATATTCATCAAAAACAGCAACAGACAGCAGTTAGTAAAACTTGAACGCGTAGTATTTATAAGAAGCGCTTATTGCGTAAAAAAATATGATTACTGAAATTTGGAGTTTTTGCATCCAAAGGACGAGTTGGCGAGCATACTTATGCTTTCGCAAATTATCATCAGGCCAGAACCTTTATTTGGGAAACTTATGTAGTACATTTTCCAAAACTTCCTACTAATTAAGTGTGCCTGACAGTCATCTGGTGGATTCTAGATTGACTGCTTTGGAAATTCTGCTTGGTTACTCATCTCACTTTACCAGAATTGGTGGAGTCCATTCGTCGCAGTTAGCTGAACAGTAAGGTAACGACTTTAGAACAGCCAACGCGCTAGCTACCTGAGTTATATTGCTATAAGCCGCGGACGAGTAACCTGACCCAAGTGTGATTAAACTCATGGTTCACAGTGGGACCTCGTTTTGCCATCGGAGCAAGATAAGTGGGGAAAG